TTCTTCTCTGAGATAATCTCCTCAGTGTCAGATGTCAAGTTCAGCCACAGTGGCCGCTACCTGCTCACCAGAGACTATCTGACTGCCAAAGTCTGGGACCTCAACATGGAGAGCAAGCCCCTGGAGACATACCAGGTGTGTGATGGACCATACGGCAGTGTTTAAATACAAGAAATACCACAGTATATATTATCTTTCAGACTCAGCTACGGTGGTGAGATTTGTTCCGGAGCCGTTTTACTCTGGGCAGAGTCCACTAAGCAATGGTTGAGGAAGTATTAACATACTTTCCTTTGAATCGAATCCTCGCTCAGATGTGTGAGATTTTGTTTCCTACTACTATAATTTGGTATAAGCTTGGATTTCCAGTCAGTGACTGATGGTATTCCAGTAATTACTCTAGGAGCACCACCACTACAGCGCACAGTGTTCAGGCAGAATACTAAAGTTGTGGATGTAGTAGCTTATTTAGTGTTTTTTATTTCAACATCTCTTTTTCAAGGGAGACCTGGCCAAGATAGCAGCCATACAAATTTACATTTATATTAGGTGGGATAGAAATGAATCATTGGAAGGACGTTGCCTCTTAGAATCACAGAACTTGATATATTTTTCCACAATAATTGGATTGATTACGTGAATGAACATCTTCTCATCTGAGAATCGACAGAAACTCATATCTGTGGACCTAAACTCTGCACAATAGGTGACTCTGTTAGTGTTTGACAGATTAATACATACAGGAGGCAAACGCACACAGTGACAGGCTAATAATTTCTTTTCTGTTTGCATGCTGTTTTTCACACATCTACGCTCACCTTGTGTCCAAATATGTCACTTGCGAGTGTTTACAGTCAGCCACACCAGCTTCTGTTTACGAGGGGGTGAAGGGTGGAAAGCAGATTCGCCATGTACTCATACAGGGGGTGAATGTTTGTGTGTGTGTGTGTGTATTTGCCTATGAGCCAGAAGTGGGAGGCTAAGATGCATTGCAACTATTTATGGGCTGCTGAATGTCTACTCATAAAGTGAAGTGGGAAGGAGGGATACCTTGCACAGCGCCCAACACCTAGATCTGCAATGCAGCACAGAGATGGAAGAAGAGGAGGGGAAGGAGGGGGATGAGGGGTGAAAATTTGGGAGGTGGTGGTGTGATGAGAGGAGGACAGAAGAATGCAGTGAGAGTTTGTAAATGAGAGGATGAGAGTGTGATGGTAGAGGCTGAATAGACCAAGTGCGGGAAGAGAGAGTCGAAGGAGAGAAGAAGGATTTCAGGGAAAACTGCTCCTGTTTTGGCAAATTTACACTCTTACTCCTCCTGGATCATGAAAAATATGCACAAATCCATGAGGGATGAGACACTGTTCTCTAAATCAGAGATCATGGGGATGGTACTGTATCATTTCACCCCAGGCAGGAAGCCCCACAGGGGAAAACAAAGATGTCACTGGGTCTGATGTACAACCATGAGCCGACCTCAGTTTGACCGTTACTGATTGCGAGGCGAGTATTGACTGCTGACTTTATGCAGAATGAGAAAACGGGGGCCTGAATGCAGAGCGCGGTGGCTGGAGTGAGGTGTAGATTTCATCTCCTTGCATCACAGTGCTGACACAGACAGGTCAAATGAAAGCACAAGGGTAGACAGTAATTAGTCAGTGAATGTGTGTGTGTGTGTGTGTGTGTGTGTGTGTGTGTGTGTGTGTGTGTGTGTTCACATGTGTCTCTGTTATCACGCCCTTGGTGGGTTTGATAATACAGGGCTAGATGTAATGGGTTTATGGATATTGAAAAAGAGTTTATATTAAAAAGCACTCCTGGCACCTGTACTACTGAGGGCAGGTGGTTATTAGTGTTGCCTTCAGGGAGCTTTGTGGTACAGCTTAGCCACATTTAATGTGTTTTCTCTGTGCTGAACTTTGAATGTGTGTGTGTGTGTGTGTGTGTGTGTTTTCTTCTGCTCACTCTTCTATTTATAGTTTATATATAGAGTCAGAACCTGGGAGTGAGGTAGCTGTTTGCTGGACTAATTTTTTAATCATATCTGTGTGTGTGTGTGTGTGTGTGTGTGTGTGTATTCCTCCAGGTTCATGATTACCTCCGCAGCAAGTTGTGTTCACTTTACGAAAACGACTGCATCTTTGACAAGTTTGAGTGTGCCTGGAATGGCTCGGACAGGTACCTGAAGTGTTGGTTTTTTATTTATTCCTTTTGTTTTTCAATAATTAATGTATGAAGGCTAAATGTCCCAAAGCGGAACATGTCAAAACTGGTGTCTCTTTAACGGGCTATTAATTGTCAGTAAAGGTCGGTTCATCCAAGTGTTTATCTTTCCATATCTTATGTGGATTTTCAAATGCATTATTTCTCCTGTTTCTGGTTGCTCAGAATAGTCCATATACTTTACAGTGAACAGTGTAATATGCACAGTTTTCTTCTAAAAAGTAGTTAGAGTGAAAACAATTCACAGCCTCTTTTGTAGATGATCCAGGTCTTTGTTTATGGTCACATACATGCTGCAGTGCAGGTCAGTTGGCTTTACATTTACAGGTTCGAATCAGGGTTGCGTCAGGAAGGGCATCTGGCGTAAAACACGTGCCAAATGTCAACATGCAAGTTGTCAGTGTGACGATTTGCTGTGGCGACCCCTAAACGGGAAAAAGCTGAATGTAACATTCACTTGGACAAATTTACTGAGATACTAAGTGAAGAATGTTCAGTGTAGGAAGAAGTCAGTTTGCCATTTCTGTGAAATAGCTCTAAATTCAGAAAAGTGATGGATGAATAAGGTTAGTTAGGGGCCAGTGATGGTCTTCAGCAGGTCAGTACTTGGAAGAATGTCTCAGACTGCAGTAACTGGATCCTTCTTTTCCTCTTCCACTGTCCAGTGTGATCATGACTGGAGCCTACAACAACTTTTTCCGCATGTTTGACCGCAACACCAAGCGCGACGTGACCCTGGAGGCATCGAGAGAGAGCAGCAAACCCCGAGCTGTCCTGAAGCCGCGGAGGGTCTGTGCCGCTGGAGGAAAGCGGCGGAAAGACGACATCAGCGTGGACAGCCTGGATTTCACCAAGAAGATCCTGCATACAGCCTGGCACCCGACTGAGAACATCATCGCTATCGCTGCCACCAACAATCTGTACATTTTCCAGGACAAGCTCAATTCTGAGATGCATTAATGAACGGATGTCAGCGGCAGACACTGAGTTTACACCTGAACACACAACTATGCCAGAATGTACACATTTACAGACACCCACACACAAGGCTAACACCCATTCACACACATGATCGAAAAATGTACACATTTAGGTCTTCTTTGACATGCTCCTTCACCTCCTCCCCAGCCTCCTAGTACTGAAAGGACCTAGAAGGGGCTAGAAAAGGGAACAGGCTGGATTACACAGTGAATTACAGTTGCCTGAATTGTGGATTTCTTGATCATTGAGTTGTGGTTGATGGTGTCCTGATTGCTACAGCTCAGCTTCTGAGGGGCATCACCCCCCTCCCAGACTGGAAGGATGTTTACATCTGTCTTTTTTTTTTATTCACCCTCTTTTTCTTTCTCCTCCATCTCCTCCTCTTCTGTGTGTGCCCAAGCAAAGCCTATTCTTATCCCTTGCCCACTGTTTTGTGTAACAAAAGTCCTTGGTTGTTTACTAGCAGCAATGAGTAAAAAAAAAAAACGGGGTATTAATGTAACGCCCTCTTTAATTTCAGGTCAGATAACCCACATCTGTTGTAACTTATTAAATTATCTTAATGATGGTAATTATGATGACAGTTTTAAAGTGATGCAAAGATGAACTCCGAACCCTTCCCTTAACCCAAGTGCACCCAGACACCTCTGAGTTCAGTGAGGTAAAACATTTACAGTCCTGCAGATAGAGCAGAAGTCAAAAGATTTACGCCACAGTCTAATATGACTGAGGGCGCACATTCATATCTGTCCCATGCAGTATGTTTCAGTCATTAATATGTTCTCTGCTGAAACAGGCCCTTAACCTTTGAATGTGGATTCTGCTTCTGGTCTGGGGCTGTGCTGTGTGCTACCTTGCCGTTAAATAAAACTCAATAATAGTAATAAACATTAAAAAAATAATTTCAGCAATCAAGCAAAGAGATGCTGCATGTCAAACAGATTTAGCCTAGGTGTTTATAAATTGACTGACTGACTGACTTGGCTGCCTTCTTAACCATTTAGACTCAGCTGTACAAAGGCTTCAGGGGCCCCCGGGGCCCCTTGCAGCACGATTAACCATAGATGACTGAGCTCTCCTACCTTTTTTTTTTGTGTCTTCGTACACTGAAGCATGTTTACGAGTGTTCGGTTCATACACTTACATGTACATTTTGAATGAAACCATCCAAGAATGAGTTTCTACTGAAACAGAGAACCAAGAGGAATGAGGAATGTCTCTGGCTAATGTTGTACTCTGAAGAAGAAAAAGAAAAAAAATCAAAGGGCCTACATGGTGTCTGTATATACCAACTTATTTTATTTTTAACATCCATAAAAGGACTGCAGACCTGATCATCTGTATTGATGATTGCCTCCAAAGCTACAGCAGAGATACTTTAATCTCTTCAGCCTTCTTCACTGATTATTTTGCTGATCTGCAGGTTTTAATTTTAGAAAGCAGGTTAATCTTTTATGTTTTTGTCAATTTAACGGCACATCCCGACCAAACTGTCCAAAAACATATTTTTGTGTTAATGTATGTTGTTGACAAAAATGTCAAATGGACAGTTGGTCTTTTTTTTCTGAATAAAGATTTCAACGAAATTGCATCCAATGAATGTACAGCTGGGATTTTTATTGCAGTAGTAGTACTGTCATTAATGTTAAGCTAATGTTCACATTTATAGCCTTAATTTACATGGGTCTATAAGGACTCATGATTACAGTGACGTCATGTGGTCTGAGGCGCCACCTAGTGCCATCAGACACTTGTATATGGAGATAAAACAATTCTAGCATGAACTTTAGCAATGACTGCTAAAATTTCTGCATGCCCCTGTTTGAAATCTGAAAGAATTACACACCATGTTTGCAATTTAATAAACAGCACTTCTCTTTTGTTAGTATTGTATGAATGAAAATGGAAGTTCAAGAGATTCTAAACACCTTTCTCTCCCACTGTACCGACAGGGGAAGTCCTAGGCAAAACAGACTTTTTCACAGTGGTGGAAGAAGTACTGGGATTGTTTACGCAAGTAGCAGAGGTGGAAAGAGTAATAAAATTTTGTACTCAAGTAAAAGTACTCTTACTTAAATGAAATTTTACTGAAGTACAAGTAAAGTTACCAGGCTAAAAATCTACTCAAGTAAAAGTAACTCATTAAAAACTTACTCTGAGTAAAAGTAACTGAGTTACTTTTTTTTTTTTAAACAGCAGGGATTCTAGTATAGTTCAAAAAGAGACAAGGGGATATAAATCTCAAGACTGTCTTTAATTTAGGGAACAGCTTTACAAATTAAAGTGCAATAATAGAATTTAATTTAAAAAAAGAATAAAAACATACATTTTAAACATTAAGGGAGATAGTAATTCCAGTACAGATCATCCGGTAAAACATTTTAAACAATACAACCTTTGAATATTGCATAAACTGTGCATTCAGTAGAGCAGCCTAGTGACAGTTCAATAGTTTAAGTCAGAGCCTTATTTTTCCTAAGATATTTTTTTTTATTTTATAAGAGTTACTTAAATATCCTGATTTAACGAAGGCCTAGTCCTGGCTGTGGAACCTTTATCATCCTAAAAGAAGTATTTTTGTTGTGTTGCTGTCCCATGTGCTCAGCACTGTAGCTCTGCTCCTGCACACTGGAAGACTGCTGAGCATTAAACACCGTCTTCTATGAGTAACACTGACTAATGTTACAGTAATGCTTAAATCTTTTGCAACATCAGCAGATCTACTCTAACATGTAACACGTTTCATTCACTTCGTATGACAATCGTGACACTGCTCAATTGTGCGTTGTCCCTGTTAATTACTAACAACATTGACAATGTCACACACTGAGGCAACGCAACAGTACAACAATTATGTAAACTATAAGTACAAGTAATATTAACTTAGTAAGTTAAACTTACCTCAACATGCTCGCGCAGGTTTGATGTCGAGTTTTTATAAGATGCCAGTTTAGTGACTTTGGCAAACACAATTTACACTGCATAATAAAGCTGTTGCCTTTCTTGCGCTTAAAATGAAACTGGTCACTTAAATATGGCCAGGGGTTTGCTTAAAAAATAAGTACACAAAAAAAACTACTCAATTACAGTAACGCGAGTAAATGTAATCCGTTACTTTCCACCACTGGTAAGTAGTAGTACTACAGTCGTTCTGCTCCAAGTAAAAGTGCTAGATTCAAAATGTTACTTAAAAGTACTGTACAAAAGTATTAGCACCAAAATGGGCTTAAAGTACCAAAAGTAAAAGTAGTTATTATGCAGAATGGGACATTGTGGCACATTGATGCATATAATTCGATTGATTATTGATGCACTATTGTTTTTGTCACTTTGATGTTTCAGCTGGTAAAAATGGAGCTAATATGAATTACTGCTGGGTAGCTTGTGAATTTCCCATTAGGGATTAGTTAACTCTTATTATACTGTATTTTGTGGTTAATTTGATTCTGAAAAGTAACTAGTAACTAAAGTTATCCAATAAATGTAGTGGAGTATGATGTAGCAAACAATGAAAATACTCGAGTGAAGTACACATACCTCAAAATTGGACCGGGAAACTGAAGTGACAATGAATTTCAAGCATCACTGTTTTTATTTTTCTAACACCAGTGCTTTTTCTACCGTGATATGTCAAAACATCCTCAGTGACGAAAAGCACGCTGCATTGAAATGGTGATCTCATGTGAGTAAGACCATTAATTATTACCTACAGAGGCAGGACTAATAGCTTCTCAGAACCTTAAAAGTTTATTTCTTTCACATAAATCCTAAATAAATTTTAAATAACAATAGCAAGTAAATGTTTTCATCATATTTATGGGTCACGGTACAGAAAACAGTAGTGACATCCTATCTTAAAACGCATCATTACTCAGGGACTGAAAATGTTCAATATATTAAATCCCTGCACAGCAGAGATGGAAACAAACAGCCAGAGGAGAAAAAGAAAAAGATGTGAACGACGATAGTGGACAACCAGAGAACTGCCCTGTAATGACTACAAGCACAGATCCAGGTGAGTGTTTTAAATCTGAAGGGACAGAGAAACGATTGTCTGTTCTCTAACAAATTACTGTTAAGACATTGTCTTATAAGGCACTTAAATTTCCAATATCAATTATTTTAAAATTACATACAGGACATGTACAGTACTATATAATGTAGTATGATTAAAGCTTGACAGTAAATGAATTGTCACAGTTATTTGAATAACAATCTTGAAAAAAAACTTGTCCTTCGATAATTTGCAGGCACTCTTCAACCAGGAACTTGACTATTTTTTTACTGTCTTATATAATTGTGTGCAGACATAGTGTGCGAACGCAAGCAAACAAAATCAATGACTTCGCTGACAACAATGCACGAATGACTGAAGCTGAGGAGGTTTAGATCAGATCAGTTTTCTTACTTTAGTGTTAGGCAGTAAAAACTTTTTTACTCTGAAGAATTCATTTCATTATATTATATATTCTCACACATTTTGGCTCAAATACTAAATGCATGCAAACGCACAAACTCAAATGTCGGAGTATCTGTCCACCCTCCCCTGTAATCACCAGTACAGCAATTGGATTCTGTTAACAGAAGTGTACAATCATTAATGTTCTTCAGCTGAACATAGTATCATTACACACACCTTTGCATCAGTTTTACATTTCTCCCAGATGTGTGTTTGTCAGATATCGTTCCCTCTACTTCCCCTCCTGTGTCACAGTCTCTGCGTCAGTCTCGGTCTCCGAGTGCTCTAGCTGAGCCGTCAGGAAGGGGTTGAAGAAGAAGTCAAAACCAAACTGCAGCGCATTCTGAGCTGTGCGCCTCCAGTCATGTTCGATTTTGTATTGCCTGCGGCTGGGTGTGCTGGCATCGCCGCATGACACACAGTGGATGGCTTTCAGTTCAAACACGGGCCATTTGGAGCCTAGACGTCCCTCCAGTATGGTACTGAACTCCACCAGGCTTCCAGTGTTTAAGTGCAAGAGTACGGACTTAAACTCATTACTAGCCCGCAGGACTATGTCCTTAGTGGCATCTTCATCTTCTACGATTATTCCATTCTTGGTCTTCCTCTCCAGTGGCATGCCCATTGTGACTTCGAATTTGTATCGATCAAAGCGTCTGATGTGACATTCATTCTTGGCCAGTTTTTTAAGTTTACAGAGGGGGTTTTCTGGAGGGGGAGCTGGGGCAGGCAGAGGCTGGGGCTCAGCCGTTGAGTTTTTTACCTCCTCACACAAAGGATATGGCTCACCATACAGACAGCGCATCCAGTTCCCCACAAGCAAAGGCAGCAGGTTGATAATTGACTGCGGCCCATTCTCAATGTCTGTCACACGGACGTATTTGAAGCGTCCGGTCCAGGTAACTCGATGTCCTTCGAGATGAGAGCAGAGAATCTGAGTTTGAGCCATGTTGGACTCCTTCCAGGCCAGAGGACCACAGAGATTGCTATATTCAGGCCACGTCAGGGTGGAGTTATAAACCTTCATGCCTTCGGACCTGTAGATGTACATCCAGCAGAAGAGCACCATCGCACTGAGCCACACCAGGATGAGCTTGACAATGCTGCTACGTGACAAAGACCGAAAGACCGCAATGGGGTTGAGGCTAAAGCGGGTCCAAAGCCTCAACACTACTGGCACAAAACAAACCGTCAGAGTGACCACCATCTTAGCCAGCTCCAGAGCGAGGAACCACTGCAGTAACTGGATGATAAGCATTGTAGCCAGGCCCAGTGAGAGCACAGGAAGAGCAAACAAGAAGAGGAAGTATCCCACAAAGGTGCGGATGAGCCCTATTGCAGTGGCATTATTAAGGAACACCAAACAGAGCTCACACCAGGTGAAACAAACCAGGTAGGGCACCAAGCACAGGTAGGTGCCCTTGAAGCCTCTCAGCTGGGCCATACGGAAGAGAAGATAAAAAAGGTGTCCATACAGCAAGCACGGCACCCCCAGGTTTAATGCAACTATATCCCCAAGAGGCACTGTGATGAAGGTCATCACAAAGACCCTGAGGAACCAGAGCGAGTCTGGCAGGAAGTGAGCAAGGGTGCACGCACCAGAGAGGACCTCTGTGAGGAGGGCTTTACGAGCAAAGAGCTGAGCTGAGGCGTGAAGGCTGAGGAAGGCGGTGACGGTGAAGAAGAGAGCAACCGCAGCCAGCTCTGAGCAGGGGATCCAGGATTTATCCGCAACAGGGAAGGAGAAAACCACAAAGACCACCGAGAGCAGGAAGTACCTGAAAAAACAAGGAGACAGGGTGTATTCTTTGTGCCACAGAAGTCATTTTTAATAGTAAGTGTATTTATGTTGATTTGACTTTCCTGTTTTTTGAGGTTAATACTTCCCCTTTACCTACATCTTTACACCTTTTTTTTTTTACTAATTATTATTAAAGGAACTATATTTTAAGAATGTACTGTTCACTTCTTCAATGCAATAATACCAAAACAAAAAGCCTGAACTAAACAAAAGCTGTATGACTGTACCTACATGACAGTGATAAACAAATGTTGAAGCCAAACCAGTAAAACCTGAATGAAATTAAACAATGTTTGGAAACCAAACTAAGTAAACACTGAAAAACTGAGCGAAGGATATATGCCAACATATGGATGAATGTAAATAGAGATGAGCCTACAGATAAGGCTCCAAATGCGTCCATCCAAAGTTGGTCTCAGCCTGCTCTAGATCGAGGCCAGGTTCAAAGTGAGCCAGCAAGTCCGTCAGAGCCCGAAAATTTTCCCATGCTTTTGAATTCTGTAAAGAAAAAAAAATCCTCAATTTCTGTTTATGTGTATCTCCTTGGAGAAGAACATCTATACTACAAATCAAGAGTCTTCTAGTAAAATGCTTTAAATTACACTTAGGCACTTTAATATCGCCATCAAGAATACAGATTATGAAATTATCCTAACTGGCCACTAACCTGGAACACACGCAGTGTGCAGATGATCATGGAGAAGAATGAGAGGTAGAAAACCAGAAGAGGAATGAGGAAGATGAAGAACTCGATTGTGAGGTTGGAGATGATAAAGAAGAAGACAAGTGCGTTAACGTGGTGGATGGGGATCAGGGTGCTGAGCCACTGCATGCCAGCTCGTGACGCCCAGTCGATGAGGTGCTCCTTGATCTCCAGCAGAGCGTACAGAGGGAACTTCAGCAACTGGGGGAACCACAAGGAAGTCGAGGTAATCAGCATCAAGGTTAAAGTCTGATTTGAAATAAGATAATTTCTCAAAACAGGCAATTTGAAGATGCCACACTGGGCTCTGGAAAATGTTCTGACATTTTATAGACAAAGTGATTAAACAGCTGGAACCACTGGATTACTGGCAGTTTTTAAATGACTTAATCGATTACCAAAGTAGGTTTATTTTCTGTTAACTGACATGCATGCAAACGCACAAACTCAAATGTTTCTGTTTCAGCAGTAGGGTCTCCCTGAGTCTTCTATCATAGTGTCCCTTTTCATTCAGATGGTGACAGATAACGTGAGCTGACACTGTTGCACCCTGTGCCTCCAGGTCAGCTTGAATTTGTTTGGAAGTTGATCAAGGTTCTTTATCCACCATTTGAACAATCCTTTGTTGCAATCTGTCATCTATTTTTCTCTTTCGTCCATGTCCAGGGGCCTATTTCAAGAAGGCGGTTTTGTCGAAACTCAGAGTTTGTTAACCCCGAAATGAGGGAAACTCTGAGTTTTCGGTTTCAGAAACGGAGGTAACTTAAACCCGTGAAAGCGGGGTAAGTTAAACCCGTTTCACAAAGAGAGGTAATCTAAACTCAGAGTCAGTTACTATGGCAAATTACTCTGTGAACCTAACCTGCT